TTTAATGAGCAAAGCACTCCCCGGAAGTGAGGTGGGGGAGGGGAGAGGAGAAATCACATGGCAGGTCTAGGGATCAGATTGGAGCTAAAATACCCTGTAGGTCTCATTTTTTGAGCTCTGGGGGAGGAGCCTGGAATTTTGGCTGCCTGAGAGGCAGGATTTGGAGAGGGAGTGTGGCTAAGGCAGTTTCCAGCTAAAGAACTGATACATAGCCCAGGCTGTACTCCAATTCTCTTTTTCCTTTCTTTCTTTTTGTTTGAGACAGGGTTTCTCTGCTTTGAAGTCTGTCCTGGCACTCACTCTGTAGATCAGGCAGGCCTCAAACTAAAGAGATCCACCTGCCTCTGCCTCCTTTGTGCTGAGGTTAAAGGCGTGCACCACCAACGCCTAGCAAAGTACGATTACTCCAATTCTCAATTCTTCTGCCTCAGGTTCCTGAATGCTGGAATAACAGGCATACACAGCATCTGAAATTTCTGTTTTTAAATCACACTAGACTAGCCAGGCTTATGGTCCATATCTATAATCTGAGCACTCAGAAGCCTTGAATTCCCAATGTTGATTTCAAACTCCCAATCCTCCTATCTTTACCCCCTAAATACTGAGGTTACACGCACACTGCCATCATGCCTTGATAGCCATTGGATTTGAGACACAGTTACATAGTCTTTATAGCCTAGGCTGACCTTGACCTCATGACCCTATCTACCTCTGCCCCTAGAGTGCTAGGATTAGAGGAATACAACACCATGCCAAGGTTATCTACATGTGTCTGAACAGGCTTTTGGTATTTATAAAACTATCAGAAAAGGTGAGAAAAAACAAGACAAAAACAAAACCACACACCTCTCGAAGAATGGCATTGCCATCATTGGTCATCACGATGCCTCCCATTGGGTCCAAAAGCATCTAAGAAAAAGCAAAAGTGTTACAGATAACAAAAAAGGAGGACCTGGATTCTGAGTTCCAATAAAAGATAGTCCAACCTTCATCATAGATTTAGGTCCCAAACATGTCCGGATGATGTCTGCAATTGTCTGTTGGTAAGGAAACACAAAACAAATACAAATCAGAGAACAACTGCTTTGGAGAACAATAGACAGAACCAGTATTTTGTTTTAAACACAGTCTCACTAGTAGCTTTGGCTGGCCTTGAACTTAGAGATGGAACTAAAGGCATGCTCCACCATGCCCAGTTCAGAGCCAGTGTCTGACATTTATTTTGATGGGTATGAGCATTTTGCCTGAATGTGTGTTGGTGCACCAGATGCATGGTTGGTGGCCACAGAGACTTGAAGAACACATTAGATCCCCCCCAGAGTTATGGGAGGTTGTGAGTTACCACCTGGGTCTAGGGAACCAAATCTATCTTCTACAAGAATAAATGTTCTTAACTGCTGAGCCAACTCTCCAGTCAGAGTCAGCGTTTTATTTTTTCGTTCCTTCCCACCCCCATCCCAGAAGCAGGGTTTCTCTGTGTAACAGACCTAGCTGTCCTGGAACTTAATCTGTAGACCAGACAGGTTTCAACCTCAGAGATCTGCTTGCCTTTGCTTCCCAAGTGCTGGGATTAAAGGCACCACCTCCTGGCCAGAGTCAGTGTTTAACAATGACACTTGACAAGGAGGATGACAACTATTTACACACACAGCAATAAATGATCACATACGCACCCACACATGCATGCACACACAGCATACTACAGTTTAATGTCCTATGAGTCCAGTCTTAATATTTTCACCGACAGTGGCTCCCAGACCACCTCCAGTATCACTCATTCAAAAGATGTTTACTTGGGAGACAGAGGCAGGTGGATCTCTGTGAGTTCCTTGCCAGCCAGATAAGATCTTGTCTCCAAAGTGGGGGCAGGGGCAGGCCTAAAGAGATGACTCAGTGGTTAAGAGCACTGATTGCTCTTCTAGGGGACCCAAAATCCAAGTCCCAGCATCTACATGGGCCACAACAGTCTGTAACTCCAGTTTCAGGGGATCTGACAACCTCTTCTAACCTGCTTAAACACCAGGAATGCACATGGTACAGCAGGCAGGCAAAACACATAAAGTAAAATGAAAAAAAATCTTTAAAACAAGACAAAACCTCCTTCCCATCCCCCATCAAGGATTGCCTTGGAAAAGCAGTTTTTCCTTTGTTTAATTGTATACTCTGAAGCACAGGTCCATAGGAAGCGTATTATTACAAAAATGGAATCAGGGAGTCAGCCAGAAAAAACTTTTTAAAAAGAAGTATTTGCTTTTTTATGTACACTGGGGTTTTGCTTACATGCTTGTCTGTGTGAGAATGCCAGATAGCTGGAACTGGAGTTACAGACAGCTGTGAACTACCATGTAGGTGCTGGGAATTGAACCCAGGTCCTTTGGAAGAACGGGCAGGGTTCTTAACCACTGTGCCATCACTCCACCTCCAGAACAAATTTCTATAAACACGTAAATGTGCGCTACCTTAGCAGCATTGATATTTCCGGATTGAACTTTTCTTCCAGATTCACGCTTTGTATTCTGACCTAGAACAGATAAAAACACATGTTAATAACCTAGTGCACACAAGCAATTTATTTCCTAACTTAGAGAGAAAATGTGCCCTTTTTTAAATATGTATGTGTATGTCAGGCACACTAATGCTCAGCATAGTGTGGAGGTCAGAAGGCAGCTTTCAGGAGTTGATTCTCTTTATACCACATATACGCCAGGGTTACATGTGGTAATCAAAGCCAGGTGTGATGAGGCATGCCTTTAATTTCAGCAGTTTGGAGGCCAGCCTGGTCTCCATAGACAGAACTTGTTTCAAATGAAACAAAACGACAAAACACACCTCCAGTTATTAGGCAAACAAAACCAAACCCCCTAACCCAGCTCCTCACTTCTCTATTTTATATTTTAGCCCCAGGTATGCTAAGAGATAACCTGAAATGCCTCAGTGTCAGGGTCGCGATCAACACTTTCCTTGTAGGCTCACTTGTTTCCAGCAGGGAGTCATGTCCTAAGATCCCTGAATGGGCCTCAGTAGGTAGAAAAACGAGGCAATCGAATATCCCTCACATCCCCGGGAGCCTCAAGCGTCAGTGACCAAGAAAATCTGGTTGTAAAGATGGCTGTGTGTTCAAGAAAACTGGCTGTTCTGCCACGACACAGGTTCGACTCCCAGCCCCTGATGGTGGCTCACACCTGCCTGTAACTTCAGTTCCAGGGGATGTGATGCCCTCTTCTGGTCTCCACAGGCATGAGACACACATGTGGACATACATACATGCATGTAAAACACCAATACACAGAAAGACAGAAAAAAAAAACCGTACCAATCACAATATACTCAAAGAAAATTGAATTCTCGAGGAATCTCACGACAAAATAAGAAAAAGACTAAAGCCCGGGAGCGTCTAGACAGGAAACTTGTCTCGACGGAGACTAGTGCTAACTCCCTATGTGTCCTGGCCTGCTATTTGAGGCTAAACTCCATGGACTTCTCCTTGTGTGGGTGGGAGGGGTGGTGCCCCCGAACCCCTTTGTGACCACACCGAATAACAATCCTTTTCTGATTTTCTGTTTACTATGTCTAACTGATCGAACCCGGCTTACTCATCCTTAATAACTCGGGTAAGAGACAAGGAATTGGTGCTCTTTACTCAAGAGATGAATGTCATTCCCTAAAGAGGAAAGAAAACCAGAGGAACCTGGAGGACTTAACTGGTTGAGGCAGAGGTGTCATTTCAGAACAAGGGTCGCTGGATGCCCGCTAACTTGGACAAGATGCCACTTGCGATCTACCAGTAAAGGCAGCTTTACTTTACCAACTCAACTCACGGTTCTTAAAAGAACCACGGCAGCCTCCTAATTCTGACGTTGAAGCCTAAGTTAAGCGATCTGCCCTAAGCCACGCCGCTACTAAGGGCTGGCCTCAGGACACGGAGCAAGGCCTCACGTTAAGAATCACTATTCACTAACTACACGCCGGAAACCATGCTGTAAAGGACTCGGGGGCGTGGAGGGTGGCGGCTAAAGAACGGAACACGAGTGGGATGGAGCGCATGTAAAGACGCGCGACTCTGAGAGCGACAAGTCATTTTGTCAAAGGAGGGCGACGGGGGGTGGTAGGAGAGAAAAGCCAGAGAAGGCGCTCCCAGCACGAAAAGGCGACTGGAGGGTACGAGGGGGGCCGAGTCATGGCGGGACAGAGCCGGGCAACACTGGCCAGCGTGGGGAGAGAGGGACGGCGGGAACCACCGCCTCCCTGAATGAACTCACTGAGCACGAGCACTGGACGGTGGCCCATCATGGCGGCACGACGCAGAGCCGAGTACCCAGAGCTGGGGGAACCGGCAGAAGCTTCTGGAGAGAAGAGCAGCTAAGAAAACGCTGCCTCCTCTGGATCGACACAGAAACCTGCTACCCTAGAAGGGCCGCCAATCACTAAACCCACTTCATTGATTGGCACGAACGTAGACCAATCGAGAGTATTGTCCCCGCCCTCTACGCAAGAAAGATTAAGGCAAGTTAGGTGGAGAGGGCACGATGAGGGGGCCAGGGAGACGCAAGCGCCTGCGCACTAGCGTGGCCGCTCCCGGCCGCGTGCGGACAGAATGTCTGCGCAAGCGCAGGGGCGCGGGCGGTTGACCGGCTCGCCACGGCGCATGCGTAACAACTACAGGGTGGGTGCTGGGGTTGAGGCTTTGGATTAATGCTGCAGGTGAGGGCGTGAGATTCTGTTTTGTCCATCGGTTTTCGTCCGACCGTGAAGGTCAAGAAAGGCATGGCAGTTTCCCACTTTTTATTCCATCGTTAGATGCCGGGAGGAATAGTGGTTAGGGGATAGCGGCCGTGGCCGGAAGGGTTGGGACAGTGGAAGTTGTTGTCATACAGGGCGGGGCAGCAACGGCCCTTTTTTTTTTTTTTTTTTGTCCCCGAGCACGCTGGGAGTTGTGGTTTACCTCCTCTAGACTTGCTTTAAAAAAAAAAAAAAAAAAAAGGAAAGAAAGAAAAAAAGAAAATCTAAGAAAAAAGAAAAATCACGTCTTCTAGATGTACTCGTTTTTTAATTTTATGTGTATGAATATTTTGCCTACACGTATGTATGTACACCACATGCGTGCCTGGTGCACGAGGAGGTAAGAAGATCCCCTGAAACTAGAATTTAGGATGGTTGTGAACCGTCTTGCAGGTTTTGGGAACTGAACCCGAGTCCTTTGCAACACCAGCTCGTGCTCTTAACTGTTGAAGCTATCTCTCCAGTCCTAAATTTTTTACTTCTTAGAAAAAATATTTTTCACTTAATCAGACGTAGTATCCCCTAATATATTATCTCGAGTGTTTCTTGTAGCATTTTGAGCCTTTTTTTTTTTCACCACCTACCCTGACAACCCATCCTCTGACTTGTTAGACAAAGGGACGGAGCTACAGCTTTTAGATTACTATACTACCATACTATAGAGTACCATGGTTGACCTGGAACTCCCCATGGAGCCTAGGCTGGCCTCAAATTGGCTTCAGCCCTCTTGCCAGAATACTCCATATAGAAAAAAATAAAGACTAAGTTAAACACTTACAAGGCACGAAGATTCATGACATGTTTGTGATAGATTTAATGTTTGGATTTGGTATGTTCTGTCTTCTCCAATGAAAAGGTAATAACAAATAACTCTGCTGAAGGGAGCTGTAAATAATGATCAAGTTGCTGTTGCCGGGAGGTGGTGGCGCACACCTTTAATCTCAGTACCAGGAGGCAAAGGCAGGTGGATCTCTGTGAGTTTGAGACCAGCCTGGTCTATGAGAGCTAGTTTCAGGACAGCCTCCAAAGTCACAGAGAAACCCTGCCTCGAACCCCCCCCCCCAAAAGATCAAGTTAAGAACAATTGTTTGCCTTTAATGAAGTCACGAGGCTGAATCAGGAGGAGAGCAGTTTTTAAAAATTTATTTATTTTTGTTTTGTGCACACTGATATTTTTCCTGAATGTATGTCTGTGTGAACCCTCCTAGAACTGGAGTTACAGACAGTTGTGAGCTGCCATGTGGGTGCTGGGAATTGAACCTGGGTCCCCTGGAAGGGTAGTCAGTGCTCTTAACCACTGAGCCATCTCTCCAGCCCCGAGGAGAGCGGTTTTGATGACTGCAGTTAGCCTGGACTACATACATCCTGGGAGTGGTTAAGAGCGTGTACTGCTCTTGCAGAGAACCTCAGCTCAGTTCCCTGCATTGATATCTGGCTGCAACTCCAGCACTAGGGGAATCTACTCACATAACGAATAAAACATTTTTAAGTTAAAACCAGGCACCTGGGGGGCTGGAGAGATGGCTCAGAGGTTAAGAGCACTGACTGCTCTTCCAGAGGTCCTGAGTTCAATTCCCAGCAACCACATGGTGGCTCACAACCATCTACAATTCAATCTGGTGCCCTCTTCTGGTAGAATACTGTATGTGTAATAAATAAATAAATCTTAAAAAAAAAAAACAAAAAAACCCAGGCACCTGTATTAACTGTGAGGCAGTATACACTGTTATACTTCTGCCTCCCAAAATTAGAGCAACTGTAACCAATGTGGATCTGCTGGGCAAGCCTAGGAAACACTTTTGTTTGACCGTGTGACCCTGTGGTTCTTTCCTAGGCACCATCCCTGTTGCTGTTGAGATGGAGCAGCCCACTAATCCTACTAACGACCAAGGTGTGTCACAGGCCCTACTTCCCCTTCCTCGAAAGCCAGCCCTCTTGACTTAGCATTTGCAGGAATGACTCTGATTTTGTGGATGTTTTGTCTGTTACTTGGAAAGTGCTTGGGAGGGGGTTGGGTGAAGGGAGGAGACAGGTCTTACTTCATTGCCATAGCTGCCCTGGAACTCACCGTGTAACTTAGACTGACCTCAAATTTTAGACAACCCTTTTGCCAGAGCACCCCACGTCTCAACTGCTGGGATCACAGGCATGGCCCACTGCATCCAGTTTTTTTATGTTATTTTCAAGACAGGGTTTCTCTGTGTAGCCCTGACTGTTCTGGAACTCACTCTGTAATCCAGACTGGTCTCGAACTCACAGAGCTCTGCTTCCTGGGTACTGGGATTAAATGTGTGCACTACCACCCACCAGCATTTTTTTTCTTTCCTTCCTTCCTTTTTTTTTTTTTAAATAACCTGACCTAGCCTCCAACTTACAATAGTCTTAGCACAGCCTCCCAGCTGCTGAGATAACTGGTATGTATGGTATACCTGGCTTTGATGAGCTCTTTTTATAGTTTCTAGCGTGTCAGTAAGTATAGCAAAGCTTTGCAGTCTGGAGACCCAGGTTTAATTCTAGCACTGCAATATGACAGCTGTGGAATTGTGACCAAATTTTCCTAACATGGGATTCCTCAAGTACAACGCTGCTAATATTTCCTACTTCTCAGGATCATTGTAAAAGATATCAGAGGGCCTGAGGGGATGGCTCAGAGGGTAAAGTTCTTGCTATGACTTGAGTTTGGATCCCCATAAGCCAAATAAGCCAGGGGTGGTGGCATATGTCTGTAACCCTACTACTTGTGGAGGCTGGGTACATAGAGTGGATCCCTGAAGTCTACTGGCCAGACAGTCTAGCTGAACTGATAAGCTCTAAGTTTGGTGAGAGACTCTCTCAGTAAAATAAAATGAGGTTGGGTATGGTGGCCAGTGGACCTTAATCTCAGCACGTAGGAAACAGATACAGGTGCATCCCTGTGACTATGTAGCCAAGCTGGTTTATATTATAAGTTCTAGGACAGCCAGGGCTACATAGAAAGACCCTGCCCCCACCAAAAAAATTATTAAAAAATAAAGCAGAGGGGACTGGAGATATGGTTCAGCAGTTAAGAGCACTGGCTGCTCTTCCAGAGAACACAGATTCAATTACCATCACTCATATGACAGCTCATAACTGTCTGTAACTCTGGTTCCAGAGGGTCCAATGCTTTCATGTAGCCTCCAAGGGCACCAGGCGTGCATGTAGGCAAAGTGCCCAAGCACATAAAATTAAGTAAAAAAAAAAAAGCTGGGCGTTGGTGGTTACGCCTTTAATCCCAGCACTTGGGAGGCAGAGGCAGGCGGACCTCTGTGAGTTCGAGGCCAGCCTGGTCTACAAAGTGAGTTCCAGGACAGCTTCCAAAGCCACAGAGAAACCCTGTCTCGAAAAACCAAACCAAACCAAAACAAAACAAAACAAAAAAGCCTTTAATCCCAGCACTCGGGAGGCATAGGCAGGCGGATCTCTGTGAACTCAAGACCAGCCTGGTCTACAAGAGCTAGTTCCAGGACAGCCTCCAAAGCCACAGAGAAACCCTGTCTCAACCCCCCCCCAAAACAAACATGCAACAAACAAAAAAGCAGCTGACAGAGCAGAGCAGACTTGTTTCGTAGCATTGGTGACATTTAGACATTGCTGAGCTTCACGTGCATATGTGAGATGGACATTATAGATAGTTTCTTCTGTGGCACTTTGAAAAATGGACAAGAAAAACTTTCCTGGCAGACGTGAGGCACACACCTGTAATTCCAGCACGTGGGAAGTGGAGGGTGAAAGAGTACAAGGCCACCTACATGAGACCCTGCCTCAGAAAGGGAAAGCAAACACATCTTTCCTGTAACCCTTGTCACACCTCTGTCCCCAGGCTTGTTTTATAACAAGAAGCCTCTTCTTTATCCTTTGACCCTGTGCAAAGTAATTCCTCACCATTTTCCCCAGCTTCACTGACATGTTGTAGGCATTTAGCTATCTTATACCTGTGTAAATAAATGAATTTTCCTGTCATTCCTCCTTCAGGAATTACTCTAGAGGTCCAATTTTCTTTCTTTCTTTCTGGTAGGAAGGAGGGGTGTTTCAAGACACTTTCTCTGTGTAGCCTGGCTGTCCTGTCCTCTACTCTGTAGATCAGGCTGGCCTCGAACTCAGAGAACCAGCTGCCTCTGCATTGGAGCGCATGTGCAACCACCACTGGCTTTTATTTTCGTAGCTTCTTTATTCCCTTTTAGTGCCTGGCTTGCAGTTTGACCTTCCACCTAAACTTAGTGCCACCCTTTGCTCTTACAGACATTTCTGTTTGATTTCCTACTGTCACCTTAGATCCCCTAGTTCATCTAAAATGTGATTAAGATTAAATGACAGAACCCCAACTCAAGCTGCATTGAGCACAAAAGGTAATTTAGGGGCTTGTGCAGTTGGGTTACGAGAGCTCAAGCCAGAGGTCTTGGTTGGGAACTTGGGCTCCTGACTGCTAGCATTTGTTCATATAGCTATGTGTCCTCCTTTTTCGCTGCTAGCTTTGCTTGTACTCACTTTATATGCTACACTCTCCAAATTCAGTAGCCTCCATTAGGCCCAACTTTATGTCCTCCCAGCACAGCAACTAAAGGAAGTGCATTTGTCCTTCCTTCCTCCCTTCCTTCCTTCCTTCCTTTCTTCCTTCCTTTCTTCCTTTCTTTTTGCCTTTGCTTGTTTTGTTTTTTTTGAGACAGTCTTAGTATGTAATCCAGGTTAGCCCAGAACTTGAAGTCCTCTAGTCTGTGTCCCAAAGAGCATGCTTCTGTGACTATTAAGAATGCTTTGGCACACATCATTGTCCATTTGTTGATCTGGTGACATGACTGACCCAACCTAGTCTTCATGTATTTAGCAGCTTGTGTCACAGTTGCAGAGAGAGTGGGATGTCGGGATTGCCCTGTGCTGGGCTGTGGTCTATTTTTACTGTTGAGAAACTGGAGTGCTGACTCACCCGAGTGGCTGGGATCTGGGGAAAGAAGAATTTCCCAGAGTGACAATTACTCAGTAGATAGAAGGACAAATGTCTGTGATGGAACTCACTAGGTCCTCAAGGTCAGTTTTTCCTTCTGATTTCACTGTTTTTGCCAAAAGTAATAGTTACCAGTTTCAGAATGTCTTGTATAGCCTGAGGTGGCTCACTCTTAGAATTTCAAGCACGTGAGAGGCTGAGGCAGGAGGATTGTTGTGAGTTCAAAGGTATCATGGGGTACATAGAGAGTTCCAAGCCTGCTTCGGTTACATAGCAATACTGCCTCAGAAAAACAAAAAACTTGAACAACTCATTGTATTTTATATATATAATGAAAAGGACAGTTTAGCTTTTTTTTTTTTGAGACAGGGTCTCACCAAGTAGCCTTGGAAGGGTCTCATTACATAGCCTTGACTGGGCTGGAACTTGCTATGTAGGTCACCTGGAACTGGAGTTACAGGTGGTTATGAGCTGCCTGAAGTGGGTTTGGGAACCCAACTCAGCACCATGCTCTTAACTGCTGACCCATGTCTGCAGTCCTTGAAGTATGATTTTTAAGTGGTAACAACCAATTCCTATTCTTTTAGACAGGGTCTCACTATGTGGTGCTTGCTGGCCTGGAATTTACTATGTAAACCTGGCTGGACCATGTGCCTCATCTTAGTGCTGGGAGGACTTGAGTGCTCACAGAGCTCTCTGCTGGCCTCTGCCTCCTGGATGTTAGGATTAAAGATGTGAGCCACCAGCTTGGCTTACTCTTAGTTCCTAACCTTTAAGGTTGAGGGGCTATTACATTAAGAGAAAGCTTAAACATCTCAGGCTTGGTTACGTGGAGAGGCTTCTCTGGCCTATCCTTATGTCAGTGATGATCGCCCCTCTTTCTCTCTTGTTTCTTGAGGCTTCTCACCTGAGTTGATGTTATGTCATCATTTTCCTACACTGCTCCTTAAAAGCTTTTCCAGTTTTCAGAGTAAATGTCCCCACATGGAGCCTCTATAAGGATTGGGGCCCTTCAGCGTTGTCTCAGAACACACCTAGATCCCGAGTTCTTAGCATAGAGATTTATTACACCAGAGGAGCAAGCAAGTGGGAGTTGGGGAGGCCACCTCTAGATTCGGCAGAAGCAAACAGCAAGCAGCAGGTGTTTCTGCAGGAGTGGGTTTTTAAGGAGAAAAGAGAGTCTGTGTTCAGGTGAGTTAGTAAGTCCTGATTGGACAGGTTAGCCGGAATAGCCAAATAATGAATTTTGATCGCTGAACCTTGGTATTTAGTCTCAGGATGAGTCAGTTGTCAGATAAGGGAGTAGAGCTTGGGGGTTAGCTTTAGGAATGTGATCTAACGGTTTAGCAAACGAGAAGAGTGGAAGGCAAAGCCTGTGGGTGCCGTGTTTGCCATGCGTGGGCTGTTGTAGAGCCCCTCAGCTGCCTCTAAATATGTGTTCATTGTAATCTCCGCCCACCCCCAAAACCCTTACTTTACATTTATTTACATACTTGGCCTTGGCTGGGTATTCTCACCCATAACTGCAATAAAAGCTTTATTTTTCTTCAGGTTTTTTGTTTTGTTTTTGAAGACAGGGTTTCTCTGTGTAGGCCTGGCTATCCTGGAACTTGCTTTGTAGACCAGGCTAGCCTCAAAATCATGGAGAATGCCTGCCTCTGCCTCTCGAGTTTACCCAGGTTTTAAGATTCACTATACCCTTGTGTTGTTTCACCCGAGTCTGTTAGTTGTCCAGGGAGAGTCTCGAATAACCCAGGCTTGAGCTTTTTGTGTAGCAGAGGTTGGCCTTGAACTTTTGATCCTCTTGCCTCCATCTCTGTGATGATATATTATTTATGATTTATTAAAGCTTGACTGAGGGGCTGGAGAGATGGCTCAGAGGTTCTGAGTTCAATTCCCAGCAACCACATGGTGGCTCACAACCATCTACATGCCAGAACACTGTATACATAATAAAGTTTGACTAAGGGTACAGAAAGCAAAGCAGACAGCCACTAGCTCTTACTCGAGCTCAGACTGAAAGGGCTGATCCTGTCCCCACGAGCTCTCACCCAGCCTCAGACTGCTGCCTCTCCTCAGCATGGCTGCAGAATCCATCTCCACATGAGACCTTTAGCTTTTTATACCTTCCTAGTGCTGGGATAAACGGCAAGTGATCCCAAGTGCTGAGATCACTTTGTGTGAGCTATTTCTCTTTAGGACTGGACCAATTTCTTGTGGCTCAGTGTGGCCTTGAACTAACAGAGATCCGTCTACCTCTACCTCTACCTCCCAAATGGTGAGATTAAAGGTGTGTACCACCACTGCCTGGCTTCTGTAACTAACTAGTGTGGCTAGCTCTGCTTTCTATACCTTCAGACAAGGCTTAATAAATCATAAATAATATATCACCACACACCATCTTGATACTGGGATTACAAATGTGCACCATCATGCCTGAAGATAATGTTTCACCTGATTCAATTTGTCTCCCTAATTTGATAGTGAGCAGCTAAGAAACTATGCTGTACATGTTTTTTTTTGCGTGTTTTCAGTGTCTGGTAGAGTAATACGCATGTAGTACATATTAAGCAGTAAATTGGACTTTACTTCTGCCATGCCTAGCTTCATGTAACTCTCACTGGTTTCTGATGTCTGTGTCTGCTCTTTGTATATCTTCCGGATACTTGGGTAGAACCTGCTGTCTGCTTTGTAGACCAGGTGCAATGATTTAGTCAGAAAGGCAGTCTCACACTTGCAATCCCATGTTTGAAAGGCCAAGACAGGAGGGTCTTGGGTTCAAGGCCAGCCTGGGTTATTGTCTTACAATTAAAAGAGAAAGGGGACAAGAGAAGGCAGGCTGACCTTTGTTAGAATGAGTTTTGATTTAGTCACCTGATTTTCAGCCAAAGAGGAAGATAATGCTGTGTGTCTTTGTCCAGCAAAACCCTCCCCCAGTTATATCAATCTTCAAGCAAATTCCCCGCCGGCCACTTTCTTGAACATCCAGACAACAAAGCTGCCTTCAGGTAAGGCTTGGGGAGAAGGCTTCCCAAGCAGACCTAGCCAGGAGAACAGGTGCAAAGAAGCTTAAGTGTCCCCTGGGTCAGTGCTGACTCCTTGTCAAAGCATCCCTGTTGCCTGTTTTCACTTTCAGGGTAACTTGTTGATCATTTAGTTCTGTTGGTTTCATTTTCTTCCCCAGTGTTCTCATTTATTAGCTACTTGACTCAACTAGGCAGGCTGTGACCACAGTCTTTCTGCTTGCTGCTCCTGATGGTTAAAAAGGACCCTGAGTTCGAGGCCAGCCTGGTCTACAGAGCAAGTTCCAGGGCAGCCTCCAAAACAATACAGAGAAACCCTGACTTGAAAAACCAAAAAAAAAAAAAAAAAAAAAAAAAAAGACCCTGAGAAGGAGGTGGTAACTTTAGCTTGGACTCTGCTTCTTTGAATTTCTTTCACCTTCTCCTAGGGAAGTCAGTGGATAGTTGAATACTTGTGGGGAACTCAGTGCTATGTAGTCATAGCCCCAAACACAGTATAACCATTGAGGTTGAGGTTAACTAAGCTGCCTATGGACAGTGTAGTTGAAAACATTTAAAAAGTAAGCTGATCACCAAGAATGGCTGAAGGACAGTGGAGGAGCCTCAGGTCCCTAAAAGGGACCTAGATTTTACCCATTCAGCAAAGCAAGCAAACAAAACCAAACTCAAAGCAGAACAAACAACAGTAAAAACCCTTTTCAGGCTGTGACTATAGCTCAACTGGTAGAGTTCTTACCTGATGTGTGTAAGGCCCAGAACCACACATACTGGGTACAGTGCATATGCCTATAATCCCAGCACTTGGAATTCTGAGGCAGGAGGATTAGGAGTTCAAGTTTGCCCTCAACTATATGGAGGGCTCAAAGCCAACATTGGCTATATGAGACCCTGCCCCGGGTTTTTTGTTTGTTTGGTTTTGGTTTTGTTTTTTTTTTGTTTTTTTGTTTTTTTTTTTTTTGAGACCCGGTTTCTTTTTTCTAGCTGTCCTGGAACTCACTTTGTAGACCAGACTGGCCTGGAAGTAACAGAGATCCCCCTGCCTCTGCCTCCCAACAGTTTCTTGTTATTTTGTTGTTGTTCTGAGTTCTTCTGTAGCCCGGAACTCACTGTGTAGCCCTCACACTTGCCTCCTGACTCATCCCAAGCACTGGGATTACTGATGTACCCCACCATGCCTGACTCATCAAATTTCCAAAGACTGAAGTGAATGTCTGAAAGTTCAAGGTTAGCCTGGTCTACATACTGAGTTCCAGGCCAGCCAAGGCTATCCAGTAAGACCCTGTCTTAAAAACAAAACAAGTGCCCGGCAGTGGTGGAGAAAACCTTTAATCATAGCACTCAGGAGGCAGAGGCAGGCAGATCTCTAAGTTCAAGGCCAGTGTGGCCTACAAAGGGAGTTCCAGGATGGACAGAGCTAAACAAAGAAACCCTGTCTTGAGAAACAAAAGCAAACAAGAAAAGAGACTTCCTGTTCTTGCAGTGGACCTGGATTTGGTTTCCAGCACTTGCAGGATGGCTCGCACCCATCAAAAGATGCAAAGCCTTCTTCTGACCTCCTTGGACATCATTTATTGACACGGTACACAGACATACATGCTGGCAAAACACTCAAGCACATAAAATGAAAAAAAAACCAAGTAGTTAAAAACAGGAACAGCAACAACAAAACCCATTTTTAAAAGAACCTGGGACTGATATAATCCACACTGTTAGGCCAGCCCTTGGAAGGTGGAGAGAATTGGCTCAAGAAGGCCATCCTCAGGGCCAGAGAGGTACCTCAGTGTCTAAAAGCACTGGCTATTGTGGAGAAGACCCTACATGGCAGCTAACAACCATTTCATAACTCTGGTTACAAATCTAACACTCTCTTTTAGCCTCCATGGGCGCTGCATGCACCTGGTACACACATACACAAAGGCAGAACCCCAACCCATAAAATAAGAAAACATAAAAAACCTCCACAAACAAATAGAAATCTTAACTTTTATCTATTTAGTTTTGTTTTTCGAAATAGGGTTTCTCTGTAACAGCCCTGGGTGTCCTGGATCTCACTCTGTAGACCAGGTGGCCTTGAACTCACAAAGATCTACCTGCCTCTGTCTTCCTGAGTTCTGGGACTAAAGACATGTGTCGTCACCACGTGGCTTAATCAGTCTCTTTTTTGTAATAGCTTTTATTTTTTTTAAGATTTATTTATTTTTATTATGTATAGTGTTCTGCCTGCATGTATGCCTACACACCAGAAGAGGGCACCAGATCTCATTATAGATAGTTATGAGTCAGCATGTGGTTGCTGGAGGTTGAACTCAGGACCTCTTGAGGAGCAGCCGGTGTTCATAACCTCTGAGCCATCCCCTCCAGCCCCCTTTTTTGTAATAGCTTTGAAAATATTTTATATGTATGAGTGTTTCGCCCATATGCATGTCTGTACACATAATGTCTGTGGAGGTCAGAGTAGGGCACGGATCCCTGGTAAGTGGAATTGCAGGCAATTGTTAGCCACCTTGTGAGTTCTAGTGGCTGAACAATGGTCCTCTGCAAGAGCAGCCAGTGCTTTTATCTACTGAATCATCTTTCCAGCCCCAGAGTTTATTGTTATTTGTTTATGTGTCATGTGTCCCATCCTCCTCAGCCACCCCCTGCTCCAGGCAGTGTTTCTCTGTAGCTTTGAAGCCTGTCCTAGAGCTTTCTTTTTTTTTAAAATATTTTATTTATTGTATATACAGTCTTCTGCCTGCGTGCTAGCAGAAGGCACCAGATCTCATTCAAGGTGATTGTGAGCCACCATGTGGTTGCTGGGAATTGAACTCAGGACCTCTGGAAGAACAGTCAGTGCTCCTAACCACCGAGCCATCTCTCCAGCCCCTGTCCTAGAACTTTCTATAGATTTGTTTATTATGTATACAGTGTTCTGCCTGCATGTATCCCTGCAAGCCAGAAGAGGGTACCAAATCTCATTACATGTGGTTGTGAGCCACCATGTGGTTGCTGGGAATTGAACTCAGGACCTCTGGAAGAGCAGTCAGTGCTCTTAACCTCTGAGCCATCTCTCCAGCCCCTGTTGTTTTCTTTCTAAGACTGGGTCTTTCTGTGCAGCTCTGCCTGTTCTGAAACTTCACTGTGTGGATCAGGCTGGCCTTGAATTCATAAAGATCCACCTGCCTCTGCCTCTGAATGCTGGAGGCATGTGCTAGCATGCCCAGCTTTTTTTTGAGATAGGGTTTAATCTCTGTAGCCTTAGCTGTCCTAGAACTCACTCTGTAGACCAGGCTGGCCTCGAACTCACAGAGATCCGCCTGCCTCTGCCTCCCAAGTGCTGGGATTTAAAGGGGTGTGGCACCACTGCCCAGCCTTTTAAATGTGTTTTGAATACTTATGTGCAGCGGCTTCTCTAGATGCTGGGGTTACTAAAGTAGACTAGACAAAAGTCCTTGCCTTCCTGAATACTTAAGCAGGGAACTTAGACAGACATGAGCTATTACCGAGTTTGCAGATGACCATAAGTACTACAAGAAAAGTAAAAAGGGGAGGGGTGAGTTACAACAATTTGCTTCAAATTAAAAAAAAATGGCAAGTAAGCCTCTGGGAAGGTGACCTCTGAGCAGACGTGCATCTGGTTTGGGTTGTATCTGGGAGGATTAGTGCTCTTATGGAGTCCTGACCTTACTGCAGTTACAAAGCCTCTTCCCTTTGTCCCTTTACACCTCCATCACTCTTTCTTCAGGAGCTGGCCAGAAGCCCAAAGAATGCCTAGGACTCCTAGAATGTATGTATGCCAACCTCCAGCTTCAGACTCAGCTTGCCCAACAACAGATGGCTATTTTAGAAAACTTGCAAGCATCTCTATCACAACTGGGCCCTGGGAGGGAAAGCAACAATGGTTCTCTACCAGCGTTGTGTTGCAAACTGTTGTTTAATCACCTGCCCCAATTCCATAAATGAACTGTGGAACAAAGATACTGTGTATGCTTTCTTTTCTCTCCTTTCATAGCTTTTGGTGGAATCTGGCCATTACATTCTGTGTGTGTACCCAGGAATTGAACCCAGTGCCTTCTGCATGCTAAACATATGCCATGCTACTGAGTGACACTCATAACCCTAAGCTTGTACATTCTACATATGGTTGATCTACACTTTTTTTTTTAAAGATTGTATTTATTGCCGGGCAGTGGTGGCACACGCCTTTAATCCCAGCACTCGGGAGGCAGAGGCAGGCGGATCTCTGTGAGTTCGAGGCTGGGCTGGACCGACAGCCTCCAAAACAATACAGAGAAACCCTCCTCCAAAACAATACAGAGAAACCCTGTCTCGTAAAACAAAACAAAAAAAAAACAAACAAAAAAAGATTTTATTTATTTATTATGAATACAACAACTTGCCTCTACCTATGTCTGCACGCCAGGAGAGGGCACCAGATCTTATTACCGATGGTTGTGAGCTATCATGTGGTTGCTGGGAATTGAACCCAGGACCTCTGGAAGAGCAATCAGTGCTCTTAACCGCTGAGCCATCTCTCCAGCCCCTGATCTACACTTTTTTTTTAAAGATTTATTCATTATGTATACAGGGTTCTGGCATGTACACCTATATGCCAGAAGAGGGCACCAGATCTCATTATAGATGGTTGTGAACCACCATGTGGGTGCTGGGAATTGAACTCAGGACCTCTGGAAGAGCAGCCAGTGCTTTTAGCCTCTGAACCATCTCTCCAGCCCAGTTGACACGTTTCTAATAGGCACCCACTGAGTGTAAATCATTTCACAAGGCACTTGGGGTTGTGTATCATGTACATTAGTGTTCTCAGGAGGAACAGAACCAGTATGGTGGAGACATATATAAGGAATTTATTAAGGCAGTTAACATTGAAATAGTAACATCAGCTGCTTCACGCCTGAGAAGCTGCAAACCCAGTAGTTGCTCACACCTTGAGGCTGAATGCCTTGGCTATCCCAGTCTGGAGCTGCTGGAGAAATCAACTCCATGAAGGAGAAAAGGCCAAGCTACAGAAAGTTAGCTAATCTTCCCCTTGCTGTTAAACTTTTTAAATCTGAGCTGCTACTTGAAAGTGCCACCCACATTTTGGGTGGAGCTTCCCTCATCAATGGAGGTAATTAGGACAATTTTTCAGTTGAGGTTCCCTACTTAAGTGATTCTAATTTGTGGCAGGTTGATCCCCTGGAGCTAGAGTGACAGATGGTTGTGAGTTACCCAGTGTGGGTGCTGTGAACTGAATCCTCTCCCCAGGAAAAGCAGCAAGTGTTCTTTTTTTTTTTTTTTTTTTTTTTTTTTTTTTGGTTTTTCGAGACAGGGTTTCTCTGTGGCTTTGGAGGCTGTCCTGGAACTCACAGAGATCCACCTGCCTCTGCCTCCCGAGTGCTGGGATTAAAGGCGTGTGCCACCAACGCCCGGCTGCAGCAAGTGTTCTTAACCATAGTGCAGTCTCTTCAGCCCCTACTCTAGATTCATTCTTTCTTTCTTTTGCTTTTTTTTTTTTGAGACAGAGTTTCTCTTTTTTTAGCTCTGGCTGGCCTAGAGCTTACTATTTAGACTAGATCTGACTGCCTATGCCTCCTAAGTTCTGTGGTAAAAGATGTGTACCCTCATGCCTGGCTCCACTCCAGATTCTTATAGGAAAAAATTTTTGCCATATCCAAAAACAACCCTCCCTTTTCAATATTAAATACATAAAAAAGTTAAGGCATGCACCACAAACAGCAGGAGTAAGGGTCTCAAATGATGAAGTGTTGAGTGGAAGAATTGGTGATGAAAAAGAAAAGATGAGAAAATAAGACAAGAGCAATAGCTGGGATCAGAAGGTCTTCCACAGCTGATGACTTATGCCAAGCAAGTTTACTAAGAATACAGCGTCATACATACTATTTGCAGGGGAAGATGGCCAAGGTCAGCAGAGAGCTGAGTCAGACAATGTTGGCAAAGATAACACGGGATATATCCGACACAGCTGCTTAACCACAACCTAGGGGGAAGATTCAGGTCCCCAGAAGCCACAACCTTGACTGTACAAGACACCAGCTCCAGGGTCAGATCAGCCTTGCCAGGTTCATTCTTGGGTGAACTAAAGTTCCCTTTGTCCCTTCATCAAGGCCTTTGTGGAAATCTTGGGTCAGTATGGTTCCCCACAGGTATGGTCCTTAGCAAGGCAACTTGTGAGTGCTGACCTTTGCTGATTAGGAAATGGTCCCTGCCAGAAATGTTGCCCGGACTGGAGGGATGCGTTACTCCAGTTCCCAGTAAGATTTTGCATCTTGGTCTAACCAACCAAAGTAACTGGGACTGAAAGGTGCGTGATGCTGTCCAGGTTTCCAATCCATATTCCCTCTGGATTCATATTTATGTCCTCTGAGGTGCATTTTCCATAATCACAATAAATTAAATCTCCCCCTTACAAAGAAAAAATGTTTTGTGGTGATAGTGGGGTGTGCCAGCACTTGGGAGGCAGAGACAGAAGGATCTCTGTGTGTCTGAGGCCAGCCTGGTCTACAAAGCAAGTGCCAGGATAGGCTCCAAAGCTACATGGAGAAACCCTGTCTGGAAAAACAAAAACCAAAAACCAAAAAAGCAACAACAACAACAACAAAAAACCAAAACCACCAATAATTGGCAATTTTAACTTTTAATATTATCCCCAGATATATCTATTTTGTAAGAGGCAAAGAGCAAGCAGCTGGCTAGGCATGATGGCACACACTTTTAATTCTAGCTCTTAGAAGACAGAGACAGGCGGATAGGGTGAGTTCAAGTCCAGCCTGGTCAGTCAGAGTTCCAGGTCACTCAGAACTGCACAGTGAGACCCTGTTAAAAACAAAACAAAACAGATGCACCTCTGTCTAAGCTTTACTTCCAGACTGGTATAACTGACCTTACAAACCTAAGGCCAAAGACACCAAAGATAGAGGACATAAAAGGACATTGGATATCTTGGCCCTTATCCTAAGGTTGGCATCAGGGGACCAGTGAACAAGGGGCACCTTTAAAAGTGTCCTGTAGGGCTGGAGGGATAGCTCAGCCGTTAAAGGCTAGGCTCACAACCAAAAAAAAAAAAGTGTCGTGTAGTTCTGTTGAGTCACTGTCTTCTCACTCGGAGAGGCCATGGAGACCCCGGAGGCTGGACTTAACTAGTCTACGTTGTACAAATGTACACAGAGGAGGATCAGCCCAAGAAAGCATCTTCAGTGCGTCCAAGGGACATCAGTAAGAACCTGGCCCATCCCAGGAGATGGCACAGCTAGTTAGAGGGAAGAGTAAGGGCCCAGGGACACTTTCAAGTCCATGTACAGCAACTAAGGACTTTAGCTGACATTTTTAACTAGCAAGATGAATCAGCACGTTAAGGCAATTGCCACCTAACACGAAGACCTGACTTTGACCCTGGGACCCACATGGTGGGAGGGAAGAGCTGGCTCCTCCTGCCAGCTGTCCTTGACTGCTGCAAGCGTCAGTGGCAGACCCCTGCCACTAAGTACAATCAAGAGGTTAGGTTTTTGGTCATTTGTAGTCTAAGCTCCCATCTGGAAAGTATAACCAAAGAGTGAGATGACTAGTAAGACCACAGAACAAAAAGTTAGATTATATTAAAAAAGATTGGGCTGGAGAGATGGCTCAGAGGTTAAGAGCACTGACTGCTCTTCCAGAGGTCATGAGTTCAATTCCCAGCAACCACATGGTGGCTCACAACCATCTGTAATGAAATCTGGTGCCCTCTTCTGATGTGTACATGGAGGCAAGGTGTTGTATTCGTAATAAATAAATCTTTAAAAAAAAGGATTAATTTTTAGGTGTGTGCAGGTTTTTGTCTGTGTGTGTGTGTTCACCACATGTGTGCCCGAAGAAACCCAAGGATGGCACTGGATCCCCTGGAACTGGAGTGACAGATGGTTGTGAGGACCCGTGTGGGTGCTGGGAATCAAACCCAGGTCCTCTGGAAGAGCAGCCAGTGCTCTTAACCACTGAGCCATCTCTCCAGTCCCCACTAAGGGAATCTCTTAACTGTAAACCCCTGTGAAATAAAAAAGACAATCTCACCCTGGCAGAGTTCACTTTGCCTCTCCTTCTAATGAATGTGATGGTAGAAAAACCATGGAAAACTGTGTGTAAAATGGGTTTAATCTACGGGGCATGCACTTGTATCAGGATGTCCCCAGGCTCAGACGGCACCCTTGGGTGAGAAACAGGCGCCGGTGGAATAAATTGCATGCTAGTTGCCTTACAGAATAAGGTTGCATGGGGCTGGGGTAAGACTGGCCGGTCTGCTGCTCTTGGGAGGGAGAGTGAAGTAACCCCACAGCTCACAGGACAGGGTCGTGAAGCCTGTACCCACACCCTGAATATCTCAAGCAATAGAGGGACAACTAGCAGATACTCTGCAGTTACTGTCTCCCCCCCCAGACAGTGTTTCCCTGTGGCTTTGGAGGCTGTCCTGGCGTGCGCCACCACTGCCCGGCCTGCAGTTACTGTCTTCTGACACATGATGGCAATGTGGACAGGAGAAACTACCAAGCCTTCTGCCAGGAACCTGCTTGGTGGCTCAACTGGCCATACTTATCCTGGCCTTCAAGTCCCCTCCTCTTAGCTAATCTAATCTCGGGAACTTGAGATCAATATCTGGGCCTATGATGTCTACATGGACTCTATAGGAGTCCATTTTGTGACAAACCTTTCCTGGGGAGACATGACAAACACAAAGTCTACTCCCTAGGGGAGCCCACACAGACCACAGAATGGACACCAACAAAGTTCATCTTGGTAAACTATTTTATTGAGGTTACTTGCCAGTTACATCACCAAAGTCCAGCCCAGCTCCCAAAAGCTGGGAACTTCCGGCATCCAGCACAGCCTGCAGCAGTTCAGCAGGCTGCCAGGTGTCTTTTGGTTCATTTGGCCTAAATCTTTGCCAGGCAGCTGGCTCATCTCAGCTTTCTTTGTCAATTACCTAGG